GAAGTTTTTGGTCATAATAACGAGATGTCATAATAAACGTAAAGTCAAATTTATTATAGTAGTTATATATAAGTATGATAACTAAATAGGTTTTACATAGGTATCGAGGGTTTGCTGGGTTTTTCTAGCAATATACTTTGTGTTGAGTTCACGAGTAAGCTGCCGAAGAATAGCAAGTTGATTTTGGGTAGATGAGGAAGGGTCTTCTTGCTGAAGAAAGAGAGAAATATTATTAATAGAAGAAAGAGCGACTGAAATTGATATTTTCGGAGGTGCTGGTCCATCTTCATCACTATTTTCGGTATTGTCATCTTGTTGCCGAATAATGCTAATGATTTCTTTAATACTAAGTATACGGTGAATAGCATCATTTTCAGTAGAAATGTCAACGTATTCTTGAGGATCAATGACTTCGTAATTTGCCAAAGGTCTGAGAACATTCAAAGCTGAACCCAATTGCAATTCTTCATCTTGAATGGTTGCATCAATGATATGTGCAGCAGTAATTATATCATTGGTATTTACAATGCCTGTTTTTTTCCAGCAATTTGAAATTGTTGTGGCGGTAACAGCATCCCAAGCAGTAGCAATATTGTGCACGGCATTTAGTAGATTCGGAGGTGTGTTTAGGGTGTCATTTTCATATTGCTGAAGAAGCCAACGAATGTGAATATTGCGATATTGAACCTTGAATGATTTTATAATGCCAGCATCCATTGGTTGCAAGTGGCTGGTGGTGTTGGGCGGAAGAAATTTGATAGTAATATTTGTAAGTGTGAGACCATTGATATGTCCAGGTGCATTGTCAAGTAGAAGAAGAATGTTGCGATTTTGAGTGCGCATCTGGGTATCCAATTTCTTAATCCAAGGTTCAAATAATATACCCGTCATCCAAGCTTTTTTGTTGAAAGTATAATCAACCGGCAGATTATTAATGTTGATTTTGTGAAATGGTCGTGGTGTCTTGGCATGGCCAATAACAAGTGGACGGAGTTTTTCAGTACCTGACAAATTGCAACAAAGCATAACAGTAACCCGATCTTTTACTATTTTTTTGCCGGGACGAGGTGCAACTGCAAGTGTCTTGTCTGGTAACATTTTCCAAAAGAGACCAGTTTCATCGGCATTGAAAATATCATCAGGAGAGTATGTTGAGAGGAGTTCTTGAAGAGTGATGCGAGCTTCAGGAAGAGTGTCAAGTGGTGCACTATCTGCCTCACCATGCAATTTGATTTGGTGTATACCATGTCGTGTCTTGAACCGAGATAACCATCCATTTGATTTTTTGAAAACTTCATCACTTATACCTAATTGTGTAGCAATAAGACCTGCTTTTTCCAATAAGATGGCATCAGTGAGAAAGACTTTGGCATGCATAGCCCCAAGACACCAAGTCCACAATCCTTCTTCTACTTGAGGAAATCTTGGTGTACGTTCACGGCTACGATTGTTTGTTCCATTTAAATCGTAATTTATCCACTTGTCTTGTTGTTTAAGCAATGTAGTAATAAAGGTACGCGTCTTTTGGAACTTGTCAGCAATAGCCTGGTGAGTCCATTTTGGATTTCCTGCCACAGTCTTTGCAAACTCACAAATTTCTTTTTTTTCGGCATATGAAGTATCTTGTCGGCGCCGTTTTTTCCGAGGTAGTGTAGAAGATTCTCCGACGAGAAGTTCAATATCAGACATGATAAAAGAAAAGCATAAAAATGGTATATCAACTGATTTTTTATAACTAAGGTGGAGTGGGAATGAAAAAATGGATGAGGGAAAATGAACGAGATGCAAATCGCTAGGGGCCTTGTATATACCAATTTGGTTTACGATCATCAAATTTCATATGTC